ATCAGTAACGGGACAATAGGTTTGGGAAAACAAGTCGTGACAAGTCTTAACATGTTGGGGACAAGTCTCAACATGCTGTGCAGCATAGAGGCCTGTGGGAGCTGCAGTTGTCAATAGTGCAGCCATGTTTAAATGGCATATATCCCCACACCTTTTATTGGCAGATCGGGCCTGAGGGACCTGGAGCCTCTGGCAGCAAGAAGTTTTTCTCTTCACTTCAATGTGCCCTACAGATATTACCACTTTTTCACATGTGCTCTGATTAAAAAAAAAAAAAGTTGAGACGCAATGCCTTAGTGTACGATAGTGCGGTAGGTGCCCCAGGTGCACCACTTCTCCCATTGTGATGTCTGGATAGTGACTCCAGCAGGGGATATAATGAGAATAAGCCAGGACTAAAAAAGACCGTGTAATCAGACCATACACTCTGTACTAGCCTTGAGGCTAACATTCTACCACTTTAGGTGTTCATATAGCTTGATGTCTAAACCCAAATACACTTGAGAGCAAAAGAAGATATTATTGGTAACTACCATAGGATATCAGGTATAAATCAGAGTTATCTTGAACAAACAAAGACATATGACCATAGTATATCACTTACTATGGTATTTACTTACTCTATTTATTTGCTTCAGCAAATTATACATCTACAGTGTTCAATAATCAAATCAATATAAAAAGATTTACATAGAAAAGATTTACGTAGAAAGCCTTGATCCAACTTCCCAACCCATCTGCTCCTTTCTACTCCTCACTCCCACCCTGATAAGAAACCCGTTTTAATAGTCTTTCCTATGTGATTAGAGAGCTTCTTTATGCAAAGCACAGCAAATTTAAATATTCTTATAATCCCCAATTCTTATGCATAAGCCACCATACTATATACTTTGTTCTATTCTTGCTTTCTTTTACTTAATCTTGGAGACGTTTCCATTTCTTTGCAGAGAGTGCCTTCACATTTACAAAAAGAAACAGTTGCATAATATTCTACTGTGTTTTCAATTAAACTGGTTGCTGTGGAGTTGATTCTGACTCACAGTGACCCCACATGTTTCAAAGTAGATATGTGCTCCATAGGGTTTTCAATGGCTGTGATCTTTCAGAAGTGGATCACTAGGCCTTTCTTCTGAGGTACCTCTGGGTGAGTTCACACCTTTCTGTTAGTAGCCAAGCACTTTTCCATTTTTGTCACCCGGAGACTCTTTGTTTAATTTAACCAGTTCCTTACTGAGAAGGACCCTTGGGTTGCCTCCAATTTGGGCTATTGAAAACAGAAGTATAGTGAATAACCTTGTATTGCCACCATTTCACATATGTGCATATGAATACCTTGAAAGAAGACTCCTGGGTCATGGTGCAGATGAACATGACTTTGGGTAAATATTGCTAAATATTCCTCAGAAGAGATTATGCCATTGAGTTCTCCCATCTGCAGTGGATGTAATTGTGCTTCCCTACAGCAACTTCAATAAAGTGTATTTCCAAACTTTTGAAGCTGTATAAATATGCAAGTTGAGAAGTAATATCTCATTGTAGTTTTAAGTAGCAAATTTATCTTTTTATGAATGGGATTGGATTTTTTCTTATGTTTAAAAAACTTATATTTTAAAAATAATTGGCTATTTGGGGACTCTATCTCTCTGACTCTACAGTAAACATCTTAGGGGAAGGGACTGTATTTTATGCATCTCATTTTCCCTAGTTTCTAGCATAAGGCCTGGGGCATAAAAGGTATTTAATAAGTGTATTATTAATAAATAAATGATTATGATTTCCTCTGTTTCTTAAACTATTTTAGGTGTAATTTACATAATTTTTTCTTAAGCTTTGAATCACATAGTTTTTGAGCAATGCATTACATGTAAATACAACCACATTAACATGTTTAGATGAGTAAAATTTTAAAATCACATATAATCTCATCACTTTAAATCAATTATTCATCCATTCATTTTAGTTTCAAATTTAGCAATATTATTGTGAAATTTTAAAACTTTGAACTTTACTTTTTTAAAAATTTCTGAATTTCACCTGTTTTTTTTTTTTTTTTTTTTTTTTTTAACACACATGCTGTTTTATGACATTGGTTAACAACCCCACAACATTTTAACCCTCTAAATTCTCAACTTTTTTTTTTTTTTTTT